CAGAGCTGATGGTCACTAAATCCCACCCTTCTCGCTTTTTAATAGGAAGGATTTTCACACTTGCTGGTCCTAAACTACAATGTATAAACCTAACGCCACATTTTCGGAGTGGGAAGGCTAAGAAAGGCTGAAAGAGACTGCCTAAGACATGGGCAGCTCTTTAAACTGCACACCTGCGGCTGCTCACAGGGTGCTGACGACCGTAAGCCCTACAAAGACAAGATACCCTCTGGATAATGAACCTGAGGTCCACTCAGAAGAAGACTGAAGTTTACGGAATCAGCAATAATAAACTACAACCTTTACCATTCAGTTTGAGACGCCAGTAAATTTGCAGATTACTGATTTTACGGGCGACTTTTCCAACGAAAACTTGGATATGAGAACAAAACTCCTTGAGGAAAAAAAAAGTAGTCTTGAAAGCACGCATGACTTCTGAAAACTCTTCCTCCACTCAACACTCTCTAGTCTTATAGAAAAGCCCTTGAAACTTGTGGACACGACTATTTCCCCTGACACCCAGTTCTGTACCAGAAATACACTATGCACTGGGGCCCATGCTGATCAGCTCTCACCTGTGTTCAAAACGCTTAAAAAGTGCTAAGACAACATAAGTGGGACACGGATATGCTAACACTAGTGGATTTTTGTCTCGACTGGGGGATAACTTGAAAAGGAAATTGAAAAGCAATCCCTTTTTACGAGGCATTAAAAGGAATATACATAATTCTCTCAGCAATGTATTCCTTCAGCTAATTGTTTAATGACACGTGACAAAAAACTCTACGAAGTTATTGCCTTTCTGGGGCCAAGTGAGACGGACAGCCTGGTCCTTGGCATGGACTGGGTTCTCCTGACCCCATTACTGGCCACTGAAGTACCAGCGGGAAGTGCCTTCCACAGGCATCTCCACCACTTCGCCTTTTGCCACCTTGCAGGCCATTTTTTTCAGAGCACATCCAACTGTTGGCAGTACGTTACTCACAGGGGAGTACCAGTCATGGTAAGAGTTCCCACCAACCAGGATGTAGCACCCCACACGTGCAGCCACCCCACAGGACAAATGCTGCTTCACCTGAGCTTCCTTAGCACCCCCATTCATTTCCACACCCCAAGATCTCTGGCTAAAAGCAAAACAAGAACAGAACATTCAATGTCCCGTTCATTCAGGGGCACTCTTTTGACTCCTGCCTGTCCGTCCCCCCCGAAATAGGTAAGGACTCTTTTAAGACTCCTTAGACTTTGCCCTTTTAAGTACTTGGGGCCACGAGAAATAAAAGATGCCTTCCAACTACCAAGTCCTCTTGAGGTAGGTAAGCCCAAGACCCTTCCGCGCTCAGTGCCTCTGCATCAGACCTCTATTACCATGGCCTTGTATCTCAAAGCAGGATACCCTGGAAAACTGCTGGCACATGGGCAGAAAATTAAGTTACCTCTGGAGTCAGGGTGGATTTAGAGATAGGTAGTCGTGGGGCGGGGGGGGGGGGGGGGGGAGGGCGGCGGCTTTCACGTAGTTTCAAAGACACACCTGGCCGGAGGCTGACTGCACCGCACACAGCCAAACTCCCCGAAATACAGCTAACTCAGAAACGAAGAGCGCCTGACTCCGGACTCTGGGCCCGTCCAAAGGCTGAGAACATCTGCGCCCCTTGCAGGTGTTTCCAAATGAAGCCCGACGCCAGCAAGTGCTGTTATGGAACGATCTCGGGGTCCGCTTCGAAGCCCCGGTGGGCTCTGCCGGGGAGCGCGCGGGAGCAGGTGCGGGCGAGCCCCGAGCCCAAGGAGGTCTCCGGTTCCCCGACTTTACCGGCCAGAGCCAGGACCCCGCGACGTCCGAACGGGGAGACGGTCCCCGGAGCCCGGCTCCCCAACCCGGGCGCGCAGCGGCCGCCAGCAGTCCGCAAACGCCCGCATCCCTCCCGCCGGAGCGCTCTAATTTACAACTCCGGGCTCCGGGCGCTTTGTGCCGACGAGGCCGCCCGGGTCCCGCGGGCCGGACAATGCGCCGGGCGGGGGACCACCGGCCGCCCCCAGCCCGCGGGCCCGGCATGACTGTGCAGCCTCGCCCGGCCCGGGCCGGCCGAGTCGGGCCGGCCAGGCCGAGGCCCGCGGCCGCCCGGGGCCTGGTTAAAGATGGCGAGCCCCTCGCGTGGCTCCCGCGGCTCCCCCCGGCCACAATGGAAGGCGCCCCCCGGCCCCGCCGCGGCCGGCCCCCCGGGCCTCACCTTCCATCTCCATGTCCT